AAAGCTCTGCTGGTATGTATCCTTCTTCGCACGCACACATGCATCTGACAAGCTTGGTGAGTGTCTTTGACGAAATGAAAAGTTCAATGCTGGTGACGCTGTAACGGGAGAGCGCGTCGTGGCGACTCGAGGGATGAACAAACACAAAATCACCAATCAATGGGTTCAAATCAAACAAATAAAGGAGGGGAACACAGGTCACATCACTGGCATCAGTCAATCGCGGAAGTGCACACAATACGGGTGGGGAGAGAGCAAGTAACAAGACCATGGTACTGCTATGAACAATCGAACGATTGTGCGCAACACGTGCTGAACACACACACACACACACACACACACACACACACACACACACACACACTTCGACGTCACTGCATGGTGATCGGCCATCACGTGTGCGTCTGGTGGTCACGGAAACACTCGTTCAACAATGCGGACGGGGCATGTCATCTGGTGGTGCACGTAGTGCAGGAGTTGTGACCTGCAAGTGGTGTGGAAGATGGCGGGATACACATGTGAGGTAATGGCGTGAGTTAAGTTTCGCCCGCGCGATGCGTATGTGCCCGCGTGATGCGTACGCGCACACGTGTTTACTGGAAACACACACACATACACAAACACACACGCGCAAATACGCAAACAAATCCACACCGCTCAAGTACAGACCTGAGGTCCTGGAGTTGCTCGACGAGGGCGTGCTTGAACCAGCACTGGAGGAGGAAGCGCTTGCCACGGCGTGTGCAGGCGAGCCCTTGGAAGCAAGGAGCGGTGATAGTGGATCCAATGGCCGCAAAGCACTGTCGAGGTGGTGGCGGTGGAGATCGTGTGAGGCAGCGGCAAAGGAGCAAAGCACACCATTTAGGTGCGCCCATCGTGAATCAGAGAGAGAGAGAGAGTGTGTGTGTGTGTGTGTGCGTGTGGGTGAAAAACTTTCTGCACACACAAGTGCACACGCATACACATACGCACATTCCCCCTCGCTCCCCCGATTCCCATGCATTCTCCCCCACATCCATCTCCTCCTCACTTGCGTACCGCTCTCTCCCACGCCTCGTCTGCAAACTCGATGTCAAACGCCAGCAGGAACATGCCGCCGCCCGAATACCGCTGGTGGCATCGACACCAATGCAGGTAACAGTCACAATTACAATGAGGAGAGCAGTGGTGTATGCATGTGAGTGGAGATCATGACAACGGGACGGGGATGGGAGACAACAGGAACGCGATGTACATGTGCACATCAACAAATCTATGTACACGCGTGCGTGTGTGTGTGCGTGTGTGTGTGTGTGCGTGTGTCTGTATTCCTGAATGCATGTGTGTCCCACGGTGATTGTGAAGCCAGACAAAGAACAGCCGTGCATGCGACGTGCTCACCTCCCAACATGGTGGTTTCGCTCCCCTTGAACCACCAATGTACATACATGTGTGCAAAGCTGATCATGTGAGAAGCAAGCTTGACAGGCACAGAACACGCCAGCCGCAGATTGCCACAAATGGACACACACACACACACACACACACACACACACACACACACACACACACACACACACACACACACACAC